GGGAAGATGATGAGCCAGGCTGCGACACACCGGCCTGGGTCTGCATTCAGTGCTCCTTGTGCCATAGCACCTGGTTTTCTTGATGAGCTTGCAATCAAGAAAGCACCTTGGGGCGCGTGGTGGCTCACACCTGAAATCCTAGCCCTCTGGGAGGCCGAGGCGGGCAGATTATTTGAGCTCAGGAGTTCGAAACCAGCCTGAGCAAGAGCGAGACCCCATCTCTACTAAAAATAGAAAGAAATTAATCAGACAACTAAAAATACGTAGAAAAAATTAGCCGGGCATGGTGGCGCAGACCTGTAGTCCCAGCTACTCGGGAGGCTGAGGCAGAAGGATCGCTTGAGCCCAGGAGTTTGAGGTTGCTATGAGCTAGGCTGACGCCACAGCACTCACTCTAGCCAGGGCAACAGAGTGAGACTCTGTCTCAAAGAAAAAAAAAAAGAAAGCACCTTGGGCTGGGTGCTTTCCTTTAAGAGAAGAGTTCAAACCTGACCCCTGTCCCATAGAAGTCTCCTGATGGGAGGAACAGAACGTACAGAGGTCACGGGAAGCCGTGAGTGATACCACAGCAGAGGTATACAGGAGAGCTCATGAGTCCAGAGAAGAAAGTAATTTGAGCTCAGGATGTTGGTGTCTCAGAGATGTTTGGAAGGATTTCATAAGGGGAAGACTGTGTGTGTAAAGTCATGGGGACATGAGCGTATGCGGCAGATTCACAAAGTGAGTTCAGTGTGGCGTGGACAGTGTGTTAACTTTTTTTTTTTAAGATGAATTTATTGGCCAGGCACGGTGGCTCATGCCTGTAATCCTAGCACTTTGGAAGGCTGAGGCAGAATCGCTTGAGCCCAGGAATTTGAGGTTGCATTGAGTTATGATGACACCACTGCACTCTAGGCAGGGCAACAAGAGCCAGACCCTGTCCTCCTGCCCCCCCAGAAAAGGTGACTTTCTTGAAAAATATGGCAGAATGGCACTCCTTCACCCCAAAGGTTCACCTTTTGAGAGACTACCTCCCCATTAATATAGGGTGATGCATTCCTTTCCTACCGTGTGCCCAGTAGCATCTGTTTTCCGAGGCTCCTGCCCTGGCTAGGAATTGCTTGGCACTGGTAGGGGCAGGCCCACTGCTTTGGCCTCCTTAGTGCCTCGAAGGGGCTGAGTGTTGCAGGAACTCCAGCAGTAAGGGTGGTGCTAGTGTCTGCAGTGAGCCCAGATGTGTGTGTGTGTGTGTGTGTGTGTGTGTGTGTGTGTGTGATGGCACTGCTGGAGCAGACCTTAAAGGGCTCGGGCCTGGGTGTGAACACCAAGGTCAACTTTGGGCAGCTCTGTGACCTGGAACACATTGTTTAATTCCCCTAAGCCTCTGTTTCCTCGACTGTAAGAGGAATCATGACGCCTCTCACAGAGCCACAGTGAGGATTTACTGCATTAAAAAGTGATTTACACAAAGTGCCCAGGGCACTTGGTGAACATTGATCTCTTCATTCCTGTGCCTTTCCGAGAGTAGATGAGAGGTCTCAATCCTTTATATAGAAACAACTCAATGAACCAAAGACCCCTCTCCCGGCCCCCATCCCCTCATTGCGATGTGTTCAACCAGATCTAGATGCTGGGTGTCCTGACATCAGACGGCACACTCCCTCCTGTTGGAAAAATGCCTGTGCCTCATGCAGCATCTGATGGGGAGGTCACTTGAGTCAACTGATAGCTAGAAAAACAGGCTGAGACTGAAGTTAAAAACTCGGTTAAAAATTGAGCTCAACCTTCAGCCGCTAAGTCTCCTTCCTCAAAAATCCCTAGGCAAACCACATTTTGTACACTAAGATGGTCAGAACAATTCTAGAAACCCAGATTACTTGAACATCTCAAAATATCCTCCTAGACATGGGTCACACTAGAAGGCATGGGACAGTTTCATTGCATCACCTATACCTTGGCTGTTCATACGACCTCCCAAATTTAAGGGACAGGATTAATTTTAAAATTCAGCTATTAATAGTTTCTTTAGGAACCTCCATACTGTTTTCCATAATGGCTGCACTAATCTACGTTCTTACCAACAGTGTATAAGTGTTCCCTTTCCTCCACATCCTCACCAACACTTGGTATCTTTTGTCTTTTTGTTAATAACCATCCTCACAGGTGTAGGTGATATATCACAGTGGCTTTGATTTGCATTTCCCTGATGACTAAGTGGAATAAGCCAGACACAGAAAAATATTGCATGATCTCACTTATACATGGAACCTAAACCAAAAGAAGGTCAAATATATAGAGATACTGACTAAAACTGGTTGTTGGGGTCAGGGGGTGGGGCACGGGGAGGAAATGGGGAATAGAGGTCAAAGAGTGTAAAGTAGCAAATCTGTAGGATGCATAAGTTGAAAGATCTAATGTACATGAGCATGAGGACTATAGTTAATAGTACTGTACTGTATTGAGAATTTTTGCTAAATGAGTAGATTATAGCTGCTCTTACCCCACGGTGGGTGGGTGGGGAGGGGAATGGATAACTATGTGAGTTAATGGATATGTTAATTTGTTCCTTTACGTAACCATTTTACTACATATATATATATGTATATATATATCTTATCACATCATGTTGTATACCTTAAGTATACACAGCGAAATCTTAAAAAATCCAGATGGTGCTGCTGGAAGGATCCCATTAACTCTTTTGTGTTACCGTGTGGCACGTGGCCTCTCTGCATCACCTAACTTTAGAGTGGAATTTCATTCTTGTGCATGCTAGCTGGGAAGCAGAATGCCTTCTGTAAGCTCAGTGGTGGAGGCAAGGCAAATGCTGGGGCCACACGTGGGAAATGCCTCAAAATGCTGACTCCTGGAGCCCTGGGGTTAAGAAACAGGTGTGTGTGTGTGTGCGTGTGTGTGCGTGTGTGTGCGTGTGTGTGTGTGTGCGTGTGTGTGTGCGTGTGTGTGTGAAATCGGTCTGTGAGGTCAGTGTGTTGGTGTGTGTGATCAGTGTATGTGTGTGTGTGTGTGTGTATGTGAGATCAGTGTGTGTGTGAGGTCAGTGTGTTTATGTGTGTGATCAGTGTATGTGTGATCAGTGCGTGTGTGTGTGCGTGTGTGTGTGAAATTGGTGTGTGTGTGAGGTCAGTGTGTTGGTGTGTGTGATCAGTGTATGTGTGTGTGTATGTGAGATCAGTGTGTGTGTGTGTGAGGTCAGTGTGTTTATGTGTGTGATCAGTGTATGTGTGATCAGTGCGTGTATGTGTGTGTGTGTGTGTGTGTGTGTGTGTGTGTATGACCAGCGTTTCCCCCTAGAGACCCGCAGCTGCGTCATGGTCAGTGGGCTGGGCCATTCACATCTGTTTCAATATCCCATGTTGAGTATTGCCATTTGAGATGAGTGTAACATGGCTCAATACTTGCCTAGGATGCCATCCTCTTTCCTGCTCTAGGTCCCTCTGGGTGATTCTTTGCCCACACAGGGAAGTTCTTCATTTGCGTGGCATCAGCAGCTTTTGGGGTGAAAGTGTCGACAGGGTAATTGGAATCTCATTCCTTCATGTGCAGACCTTACTAGGCGGAGAGGGCTGTGTTCAGAGCAGGCAGGTGTCAGTGTTAATGAAGGGGATCCCAGAGCTGCTGGAGGAAGGCCTCAGGCTTGGTATAAAAGTTGGTGAGGAAGGGGACCAGGGACCTCTGTGTGTGCAATGGTGGCAATGGCTAGTGCCATCCTGACACCCTGCAGGTGAACCAGGGCTGATATCCAGCTGGTGTGTGGGGGTATGGGCATCGTTTATCCCGGTTGTTAAATATTTTTACTGTCATCCCTGGGTTGTGTCCAGGTGAATCCCTAGTGGAGGCAGGCCTGGCCCCAGCAGCAGGTGGTATGGCAGGTCCTGGTTGCCAGGGCGGTAGGGGACAGTTTCAGCGCCAAGACCCCACAGTGAACTCCTGTGTGATTAGAAGGCCAGGCCTGGTGTCCTGTATCTTGAGAGCTCGGGTGAATACTGGCTTTTCTCCCAGGAACACCGACACTGCTCCAGAGATTTTAGAAAAGGCAGATCTTGTCCTTCCAGGGACACCAACCAGGTTGAGGGCTCTAGACAGCGACGGAGGAGGTGCGGGCAGCAGGGGGCAGCAAAGAGGGGCTGCTAAACTGCAGCTGCGGCTGGTGCTAGAGCAGGGTGTCCGCAGCACGGCGCCAGGGGCGGGGACGGCAGTCAGCTGATGCCCGATTAGCCGCGCAAATTAGGGCTGATCTAGGATTTGTTGGTGGCTGTTGTGACATGAACAGCCTTGAGCAAAACGGTGAAGGGGAGAGGCCCAGGGTCACATTCCCACGTGTATCCGTATGCTCCCGCCCCTCCGCGCCCCTGCCCCGGACAGCTCTGTTCCCTGCCAAGGACACAATCCTCTCTCTTCCGAAGTGCCCTTTCTTCGTGGGAGTCGCTGACGAAACTTTCTAAAAGGAACAACAACCTGATGTCTTCCCATCTTCTCCCACTCCCCTCCTCACTCAATCCCTATCTTCCTGAACCATTGCCATTTCACGAGAGGACCCTGGAACAAGCAGTGCCCCAGCCCAAGGGGGAAAGATCCTCTAGTGGAACAATTTCCTGCTGAATATTTAATTTAATTTAATATATATATTATTATTTTTTGGCTGGAGGAGGCATAAACTTAACCTATTAAACTATGCCCTGCGTTTATTTGTCCAAATAACACTGGCAAGGTATGACCAAGGAGGTGTGATTTTCAGCGCCTGCTGGCCCCTGTCTGCTGGCTCTCTAGACTGGAGAAGTGAGCTGGGGGAAGCTATGTGCCACCATCTTTAATTGCCTTGCACCTGCCATAATACTTGGCATGTTGCAGAAACTGAATGGAATTGGCAGCGGAGAAGGGGACATGTGAAGCGAAGACGCAGCTCTCCAACCGGGCAGTCTGGCGGGCTTATGCGTTGTGTGTGTTCACTGCTACACTTCTTGTGTTCTGGGTTCCAGGAAATCCAGGAGTCATTTCCTCCTCCTCTCTTTTTAATTGCCATTTATTAGCTTAGAACAAAATACAAAATTTAGAAATTCACAGGAAACCTTAAGGAATGAACAAAGACAGAATAGCACTGAAGTTTAATAATAATAAAGCTCTAACAAATAGGGAAGTTTTTCTGGATCGTGGAAGAGACAACTGATCACATTTCTGGAGGCCAGTGATTCAGAGCGAGCCTTCTCTCCATCCCCCCATCATCCCCGGTCCATCACACCAAAAGCCGGAGACAGCGGCTGCAGCCGGAGAGGGTGCTCGGGTCCTCTAGGAGTGGTGCCTCACTCTACAGCTCTGACGCTTATGGGGGTTCCGATGTCGATTCAAATTTATTTACCAGCTTTAGAGCCCGATTTTAACACTATGATTCTCGGGCAGAAGTTCTGATAGCATATTTTCCCCAGGAGCCATTCCGCAGATCTGTAGAACTTAAAAGAGACAAAAGATCATTCCACCACCGGTCTCACCCTGGGCACCCACCCCAGGGCTGCGCCTGCCCGACGCGAGACTGCGCGGAGGGGCTGTCCTAGCCACAGTCCCGGTCTGGGCCTCCCGCCACCCACCCGGCGCCAGGCCTGGACGTCTGAGGGACCCGCGTGCATGCCAGGGAGCCAAGGCTGGAACGGGCAGTGTCCCCAGCACACGTCTGCCTGGGAGAGGAGGACAGGCTGGGCAGTGTAGGGCGGTGCAAAGGCCGGCAGAGCTCCTCAGCGTGGCACTGACAGCAGCCCTTATTTCTGCTAAAACCTCACTGTTGTAGCTTCATTCCTTATATGAATAGTCAGCATGAGAAAAGTTCAAAAGCACCAGCTTTCCTCTTTAGGTACAATGCTGCCTGAGCGCTTGCGAGAGGCATGTCTCCGATGAGAGGGAGGGAGCCTGATTTGGAAATTCTCCTTGGAAAACCACGAATCTCTCTCTGTCCTTCTGATGACTAATCTATGTTGACATATTTAATACCCCTCTTTGCCACTGACCTGCCCTTAAGACCCATATTTCAAACAAACAAGCCAACATACACGCACAGACTGCCTGGCAGTACAAAGTCCTATGGGCTGCCTTCCTGGGCTTGCACTTCTTCACGGTCCTGCAGCTGTGGCCAGGCAGCCCGCTTGTCCACCTCTCCTAGCCCCCTTCTTCCGGCCACAGCGCTCAGGCAGCCTGGCACCAAGAACGCCCCGTGCTTAGGAATAGACTGAGGCCCCGACCCCTGCACTTGCTCCTTCCTCTCGTGGGTGTTATCTGTGTCTCCTCCGTCCGTCCGCTGACTTCTTCCTTCCCTTCCCCTGTCCCCTCCCCTGCCTTGGCATACCTTTTCCTTCTTGCCCCTTCATCTACCAAAGGAGGGGAAAACTTGAGCTTGGGGACTGTATTAACTGAGATTTATGATAAAAGAAATCCCTTCTCACTCTTCCATTCTGCTTCTCTCAGCTACTTGGTCGATAAACTGAAGGCAGATATCTGGGCTGATGGACTACAAGATTCCAATCCTGAATCCTTGCTCTTCCTCTTAAAAATACCATAAAGAATTCTCCCACTTCTCCTCTCACTCCACTCCTCTTCCATCCAATTCTCTTCTCTTTACACCTGTCCGCACTAATATTCTGAACCTCACTGCTTCCCCCCAAAAGGAAAATTGCTACACAGCCCCTTAGCCTAAGGCTCCCTCCACCTGAGGTATCTGGCTCTACCAGAACCTTCAGCACCCTGTTTCCTTATGAATGTCCCCAACACATGGGTGTGTACCTTTTCTGAGGCTATTCATCTTTATTACTGATCTCATCTTTTTGGAGTAACGAGTTTCACAGGTTTAAATTCACAGCCTGCTCCCTCTCATGGATGCTAATTTTGTTTCTATCAAGCTTCTAGGAGAGCTTCCTATCTTGAGCAGATCAGGTAAAACAAATCAGACACATTTTTTTTCACATTCAAGATTTCACAACGTGTCCCTCACCCAGCTTCTGCCCTTGCGAGGCAAAGAGCCCCAGGAATTTTAATTGGTCCTCATGGTACAAACTCCCCACCTCTGATCCTCTTGGAAGCTATGGACCCTCCGTGGCCTGGTTACAGTATCAGAACTAGAGGAAGACATTAGGGTTTTATGCCACCAACCCTGCAAATGCTCACTTACCACCTTTAGATGGGACGCCGGGCATACTTTCGGCGATGCAGCTGGTCCACTTGCTCCAGGTACCAAGTACCCGGGAAAAGACTGTTTATATCACCAGGTGGTGAGAAATTCACTGTGGAATGAGGAGAAGAGGCAATACTCACAAAGAGTTACATGAGTTTTGGGGAAAGAAAATAGTAATAGGGACGTCCGCAGCTTCACAGTGAGGGTCTCTTGGCTGTGTTGCAAGGGGCCACAGGGTTACCTGTAATACACCAAATGGAGAACACTGGACTGGCAGAAGAGCCAGAGGAGCAGCCATCTTGGATCTAGCACTTAAGGCCTGACTATTAAAAATTATATTATAAGGGTATAACATTCCCCTACAGTAAACATACCCTTCCTCCACTGAAATCTTTATGGCATCCTTCTGGCAAGAGTACCTAGGTTGAGGAGCACCCTCAGAGCCTCTGTTTCATAATAGAGACTTTCTTCCTAGCTCTACTTCAGTGCTTTGTCCATTGGTGTTCATCTCAGAGGTCCTCTTTTTGTTTTCATTGTTTTTCTTTGCTAAAACATATCCCTTGATCCAGATGAGATCAATGACCACTAGGTCTAGGTTCTCTGGAACATTCCCAATTCCATATGTTCTGTCTCCTTTTCAGACCATACTGCAAACCACGTGCCCAAAGTTTTGCTTGAGAAGATATAGTTACCATTGTTTTAAAATCACCATCTGGTCTCTCCAGTGCTAACTTTGGCTTTTGTTTCCTTTTCATTTGTTGCTTTTTTGGAGTAACATTTTGTTTTTATATTTGGTGGAGAAAGGGGGCAATGGGAAGAGACAGTAGGATGTACTGGTAACGTATTCATGTATAGTAATTCATTTAATCTGTTTGGAAATTCTGCTAAATTGGTATGATTTTAGAAATAAGACAACTGAAAATAGTTCAGCAATTTTCCCAAAGACAAACAGCTAGTAAGTGGCGCAACTCAGGTTTAAATTTGGATATCTACCTCCCAAGTCTGGACTCTTTCAACTGTTGCACAGAAAGCATTTTCAAAGACTATACTTCCATGGCACTACATTGTCCAGTATCATGGCATGGAATCCGAGGTGAATTACCTTCTCTTCCTCTCTTCCTGCCCTTTTTCTTACCCTTGGGGTAGAAGTGCTCTCTTTCATTCATTATTTCCGTGAACTCTTCAGGAGACATTCGCTTTCGGGAGTCCAGGCGTTTTGGCAGGTCTGATGTACTAGACACCAGCTTCTCCAGGGGGGATCCTGGGAAGCAAAAGCAAGATTGTTACACCTTCTTCCTTGTCATTGTCACTACCACCAACCCACAAGTCCAACACAGAGCCAGCTTCCATGGAAGCTCGCACCCTGGGGAAAAGTGCTCTGAGTGTGGCTTAGAACACCAAGATGTCATAAGCAAATATAAATGTTAGCAAAACATACAGGCAGACACACTTACTTAGTCAAGGTATATCCCACATAGTAATTAGATATGTGTCCTGGATCTCATCAATCAAAAAATAATCATCATGTACCCACTGGATAGCTCACATTCGTCAACTTCTCTTTATCAGTTGCAACCGAATCACTGTTACCTCTTGACTGGGCTATTTGCTGGAACAAACTGGTTTCCCCATGTCCCCCTTGTTCCTCTTCAATCTAGTCGCTAAGTAGTAGCCAAGGAAGTGCTTTAAATACATAAATTAGACAAACTTACTCCATTGCTTAAATCCCTTCAGTGATTTTCTTTGCTCTTTATCACAACCTGGTTTCTTTCACCAGACGAATTTTGTCAGGAGTGCCTGACAGAAAGCTGAGACTCACCCGGAGAAGCGTCCTGTGACACTCGGAATGAAAACAAACTTGCTGCTAAGCCAGAGCCATAGGAGAAGGCACCGATTCTGGAGCCGGCCAAGTCCTGGGCAGAGTGTCTGCAGGGAGAAAAATCAAAGCCCCAAACACATCGGCATTATACTCCGCACTTCAAATAAAGCACCCACCTATCAGGCCGATCTCCTCCCTGTCTACCTCATGCAGCTAGAAATGGTTCTGGGCCCTCTGCATGAAAAGCAACTTTTGGTAGGCCCCAGGGACAGGCCCAGGAGCAGGAAAGCTTCCAAAAGGAGAGCAGCTAAAATCCAAGATACATGAGGCACAGCAAACACAACAGAATGTCAAATGGAAATGGAACTTCTCCCGGAACTCATGAGGACAAGATGAATTTAGTGAATTCCAAGGGTGCTTCCAAATGGGGGCCAGACCACTGGACTCACCCTCAAGGCTGTATGTTGACCAGCAATGGTTCAACAGTGGTAACATTTTGATCATCCCTCATCAGTAAATAATTTGAGCAGATTCACCCACAACTATTTTTTCTATGTTATATGTGGTATTTCCTTATAAAACCCACAAAACAGAAAATCAATAGAAATAACAACTAGCTCTGGGCATGGTGGCTCGCACCTATAATCCTAGCACTTTGGGAGGCTGAGGCAGGAGGATTGCTTGAGCCCAGGAGTTTGAGGTTACAGTGAACTATGTACTCTAGTGACACAGTGAGACCCTGTCTCAAAAAATAAATAAATAAATAATAACAGCTAGCAATTGAGCACCTGCTGAGCACTGCTGTTTTAATTGTTTTAGACAATGTTCATCAAAACAGTAGCACACATATTATTACTATCTATGTTTTGCAGATGGGGAAAGTGAGGCACATGGAGGTTAAGTATTTTTCCAAGGTCAGAACTAATAAGTGGCAAAGAGATTTGAACCCAGGGTGTGGGCTCTAAAGCTAGACTCTCTTAACCACCATGCTCTACTAAGCATATAGAGATTTTTAAATAGACGAGACAAAAATATGCATAGGAGTTCTACTATTTTATTGCTGCATCCAGATAGATCTTGCACATCCCCTGACATCCATGTACTTCACTTTGGAAATCACTGTTTAATACAGATTGCAAATCTGCCTATACGTATACCTTTGAAGCAAGTTTCTTTCCTCTTGTTTCCCTCCCTGCCTCTTCTCTCCTTTCCTTTCTTTTAAACGTCTGAACCAGAAAAGGAAACAAACTTGGTTGACCCATCAGACCATGGAGGGGGCATGTAGGAGGTGAAGCCAGACGCAGTACTCACTGGGACAGAAGCGAAGCCAGGCACCCGTACAGGGATGAGGTATATGTATTCCCGTTGCGTGTTGCCAGGTAAAGGGAGGCCTTGGTTTTCTTGTTGAACACGTCCAGAGAGGCCTTTAAAAGTGCTTTCTCCAGGGCCTTATTGGTATAGGTGTCTTCCAGCTTTAGCCCCCTGTGGGGCAGCCAGAAGTGACCGGGTGAGAAGCCACAGGGCATGAGGGAGAGAGCAAGGGGAAGAGTAACAGCTTCTAGAGAGGAGACTTTGGACGTGTTTTTATTACAACATTTGTAAATACATAAAAGCACACACACAAAAAAAAACCACATGCCGCTAATAGTTCTACCATTCAGAGATAAAACTTAGGGAATATTTTTTATATTTTTCTTAGGGAATCCATCTCCACTTTCATAAAGTGTATTAGAAAATTAGAAATGAAATCATACTATGCATTCTGTTTAGCATGCCTTTTAAACTCTGTGTGTGTGTGTGTGTGTGTGTGTGTGTGTGTATTTATCCATAACATTAAATCATTTTCTTTAACATTATTTTTAATGGTTGCAGAATGGTCCGTGACATGATATACCCTACTTTAACCAATCTCCCTACTCCTGTTTCTCGTTAGTTAAAATACTGCAGGGAATAGCTACAATAACCCATCACCCCATGTAGGAATTGGTATCATTTCCATTGTGTTGGAGGGTTGCCATTGCCCCCACAGGAGTGCCAGTAACCCAGGCTCAAGGCATGAGGGAGCATCCTCCTTGCCCACCCCTCATGAGCCCCTAGGAACCCCATGAACAGGACTCACCTGAAAGCCTCTAGCTCCTTATATAAGCTGGATTGTGTGTTGCTGCTGGCTGACAGGAAGTCATTGAGCATCAGGCGAGCCAAAGATTTCTGGACCATAGTACAAAAGGGCGCGTGAAAGATCATAAATTGGAAATCGTCAAGGGTGAAAGGTTGATTGGTGCCAGCTGGAAGAAGAACTGTGAAGGCAAATATGTAGCATGAGGGATGAGACATCTCGACCTGTCTCAGATTTAATGGTGCCAAAGAACTCTAGGCCTCCCAAAGAACTAGTTCCTGCCTCCAGCAAACACATATAAGGTTTGTTCATTCATTTCTCACACCTTTACTAAGCCCTTCTTCGTATAAGGAAAGAAGAGAAAGAAACAAACATACTCATATCTACTATTGCCAGCCTCCCTGACAGATGCTCGCCCCATATCAACTTTGTGTTGTACCATTTTCTCCATTTTCCAGAGGAGGAAACAGAGTCTTCAAAAAATTAAGTAAAATCATATGTTCAAGGTCACCCAACTTGAAGAGTCTGGCTTTGGATTTAGGTTCACCTGTCTCTGTCACTACATTATTGACTGTCTCTCTCACTGTGCAGAGGAGGGCAATGCAACTTCTGCCCTTAGGAAAGTTTATATTTTAGTGCTGTGATCCAAAGTAGCATCCGTCAGATTTCACGTGAGAATAAGGAGTAACATGAAAATGCTGCAAGAATTCAGAGGCAGCAAGAGCAATTAGCCAATAGCAATTTTACAGTGGATAGGCAGAGGCAGAGGCCCAAGGTGACTTCTTACCCACGGGGGTTGCCTATGGCAGGCAGTGCCCCAGCCAGTGCAGCAGAGAGGGGCAAGATGTGTCTCCTTATGCCACTCGCAAAGCACCCATGCCCTGGCGCTTCAATATATGCTCCTTCCCACACTGAAACCTGCCTTTTGCAGATACCCATCTGGGCATGGCTAAGCAGGTAAGATACTTTCTATTTTTTTAAAGTGGGTTTCTCTGTATTTTTAAAATAAGATTTATTCACTTCTTTTCTGATTATGAAAGCAGTATGTATTTTTTTTTTTTTTTGAGACAGAGTCTCACTCCTTTGCCCGGGCTAGAGTCCTGTGGCGTCAACCTAGCTCACAGCAACCTCAAACTCCTGGGCTCAAGCGATCCTCCTGCCTCAGCCTCCCGGGTAGCTGGGACTACAGGCACGCGCCACCGTGCCCGGCTAATTTTTTCTATTTTTAGTTGTTTGGCTAATTTCTTTCTATTTATAGTGGAGACGGGGGTCTCGTTCTTGCTCAGGCTGGTCTCAAACTCCTGAGCTCAAGCAATCCACCCGCCTCGGCCTCCCAGAGTGCTAGGATTACAGGCGTGAGCCACCGAGCCCAGCCAGCAGTATGTATTTTTTAGCGGGGAAATTCCAAAACTAAAGATGGAAATAAAATCGACCTATTAACCACCATACAGAGAAAAATCACTGGTAACACTTTAGTAGATAGAAAATATAAGATAAGACAAGAATTTCCAACATGACTTTAAAAGGTGGCAAACTACAAATCAAGAGTCACATCATGCCTGACTTAAAACAGAAGCCAATCCTGACCCCTGAGGATGTGTTCACCCCAGGTCAGGACACGTTTCCCAGGTGGCTGACACCCACTGGTTTCATACTGGTGGCTTAGGCCTGGATTTTTTGCTTTCTTTCGTTTAGCTCAAGTTAGAGGCAATTTCATACTGGAATTTAAATGACATCCACGTGGATTTCAGCAAAGACCCAGAAAGGAGTATAAGAAGGGAACAGGAAACAATTCTCTTAACATGGTTTTCAGGGAAGGAGAGAGGAGACCTTGTCTTAGGAGTTTAGGGCAAAGGTACAGACTCTTGGCCCCTGTAAGCAGAGCCCCCACTTCTTGCTGCACGAGGCCCATACCTCTCTTGCGCTGGTTCTGGATCTTGTGACAGTATGATGCGTAACATCGATCCAAGGCCCGAAAGTAGCACTGGATGGAGAGCTTCCCATCCATCACTGGGTATTCCGATCCCAAATTTGGTTTGTAGAAATCATATGCATTCTCCATATGGGTTGCCCTAAGCCCTGGAAAGGCACACAGAGGGTTTCAGAGACTGCACAGACTACCTGGAGCACAGAGGATGGGAGAACCATGTAACAAGGGCTTCCTGGTCTTTACCTGTCTCCCGTGCCCAAGCCTGAGCCCACACGACATCCCTCAAATATTCAAAAGGATTTGAATAGGTCATTGGTATTACATAAATGAGGTTTACATTCCCCTTTCCATACCTGTGTGGGCTTAACAAAACCTGGAATAGAAGCCAAGTCTCACAGGAAAGACTTTCACTCTTTACCCAGTTACCTCCTAGAGTCAATCACCCACACAACTCCCTAAGGCACCCGCACGACTCATCCATGAATTATTATTCCCATGCTTGATGATGCAGAAGAGGAAACCTCGTGGATTCCCTCTTCCTTTCCTCCCTAATCCCTGCTTCTCAGGCCAGTCTTTTGGAGGCAAGCGATACCACCTTCAAACCCACACCTCAGCCCTGAGTAGCAGGTATGCCAATGTAGGATTAGGAGCCATGTATTTGTCTGTGCCATGTGTAGCCTCTTGGTAATGGTTTACCTTGCTCGAGGGCCAAAGGGGCATTGGGCCCAAGCAGCATAGCCACGGCTCCAGCCCCACCGGTGGGACGAGCATTATCATTGGGATAGACAGCGATATCACCGCAGACCACCATTGCATAGCGACCTGTAAAGAGAGACAGGAAGTGATTATCACCACTACCAAATCTAGAGTAGACTGCGTGCCCACTGTGTGCCAAGCACAATTCTAGGTACTGGAAATAGAGTGAACAAAACCACAAACCCTAGCCCTGTGGAGCTTATGTTCTAGTACGACTGGTGATACACTTGAAATGCAAAGCCAAAACTTAGTGTCCTGATACTCTAACTGTAAAATGTTTATTTATTCAGAATTCTATTTCTGACTTCAGTGAAAAATTCACTAACTGGAACTTTGGGAGATAATTTAGTTTTATACTGATCACCTTACAGCACTCCATGATCCTGAAATTTTTCCCAAATCATAAAAGGCAAGGGATAGAGAGGGAAACTAACATTTAAAATAGTGTCCTCAAACAATCCTTTAAATAATCCAGTGAGGGAAGTAATGTCCACATTTATGTATGAAGACACTGCCTTCCAGAGAGATTAAGTAACTGGTATAAGGTCACATTACCTACTGAGTATAGAATCTGATATTCAAACTCAATTCTAACTGGATCCTAAACCATGGGCCTTGAATTGCTTGGTGTTACTTTCATTGTGAAAAGAGTTTATGCTGAGCAACCACACTTAATGTAAATGATCCATAGTAACTAACTCTATGGCAATCTATTGGACAATAAATAATTGTCTTGACTATTATTTGTTCTACTTTCATCTGATAGAAGTACTGCCCCCCAAACTTGAGTCTGTGTGAGAGACATAGCAGCAATTCCAGTATTCTGTCTAAACTGTGACGAAGCCCCCAGTATTCACCCATACCACTGAGTTGGGAGCCTTAATTTTATATAATTTAATGCCCATGATAAGCCTATATAGCAGATATAGTTATCTCCTCTTCACAGATGAAGAAACTGAGGCCTAAAGAGCTTAAGTCACCTGCCCAAAACCACATAGCTAATAAATGGTAGGATAAGGATTCAGAATCAGGACTCCAACCCAAATTCATTGAAATTCGAGGACCTTCTCTTGAGAATTATTACAAATCCAACTGCAACTCCAATAAAAAAGAATGTTTTTGCCCCCAATGATATGAGTGTGTATAAAATACATATAAATAAGTTACATAAACATATTAAGAATATTTATATGTTTAACATATGTAACTATACACATTTAATATATATTTTATATATATATATAAAACTGGAGAAAAAACAATACTTTTTTGTATATGCATACACACACAGAGTGAAAAATTTAGAAACTGTAGACGTACTTAGAAGCCATTTAGGAAAAGGCCAATAAATTTGACTACCTGAAAGTCAAAGCCTTCTATCAGAAACAATGTCAAAAGACAAATTGGGGAAGTATTTACAATATCTGCAACCAACAAAAAGCTGTTTTCCTTCATTTATAGAAGTCTCATCAAAAAGACAAGTTATATAACACAAAAATGGCCAAAAAAGTCATAAAAAATCCAAGCTTTCTTATAATGAAAGAAAGGCAAATCAAAAATTCTACAATTTTACTTATTAAATTGACAAAGATTAGAAAGCTTGATAATATGTACTGTAGGAATGTAATTTAGTACAACATTTTGAAGAGCAATTTGGCACATTTTATCAAATTTTTAAATCTACCTATCCTGCAATTCTACTTCTAGGAATCTATTCTTAGAACACATTGCCACAAACATACAAAGCTATTGTACAATGTTCATTAAAACATTATTTAGAATTGCAAAAAACCACAACAATCTATTTATTTATATGGGACTAATTAAATAAAATGTGCCATATCCATCAATAGAATATTATGGAGTTTTTAAAAGAATGAGATAGACCTTATATATGCTGCTACAGCATGATTTCTAAGACATCAGACATTATGAATAATATGTACAATGTTTAAAACTGAATAGATATGTGTATGCTTGCAGGTACAAAAATTGTAGAAGAAAATTAGGAAGAATACATATATTAATGTTAAATTCTGCGAAGTGGTAATGGAGTGTCAAAAGGGGGCTTTCTCTTTACACCCTTTTGTGAATATGTATATGTATTTCCACAACTATAAATTTCACTTGCTTTCATAAAAAAAAAAAAAAAGACAAGAAAATCTGGGGACTCCCAGCCAATCTGAGCCAGCACCACTCTTTCCTTCCCTCATACCCTCCTCTCTTCTCTAGAGTTGTTCAGAACTCCCTGGTGAGTCCCAAAGCTACTTTGTCTCACCAAAGAGGGTCCCTAGGTGGATGGTTGGCTGGGTCAGAAGCAGAGATCTCATGCACACTGGCCTCATCTGGTCTTGGTGGTTGCTATCACCTGCAGAGTGTGTAGTCCAGGAGGTCAGGCTCAAGCTCAGATATGCTTTTTGTTTCAAATACAAACTGAAAATTCACATTTCAGTAGTTGGTGTTTTATTTTTACTTTTCTACTAAGACATCATGTTAAAGAAAGATGCATTTGCAGGCCTCATCTGTGGAATACCCGGCCACTCAGCAGAATCTGCTCATTTTAAATGGTGTGATTAAAGCTGACAATGCTTCCAAGAACAGGTTCTTTGATGTTTGGTTAAAGGCTAGTGGATGTCACTTATCCTGTGTTTCTACTTTCCAATTAAATACTTGCTTGGAAATATTAGTGGTAGTAATGGTGATAGGAGTTGCTAGAGAGGTAGTAATACAAGTGTCAAACTAGAGAAGCACTGTAAGAACAGATTTGACAATGACATAGAGACTAGACCTTCAACCCCTATCAATGGAACCATTAATGGGGAAGGAGGGCCCTTGTAGGCAGCTAAAGAAGCATGGGATGGACTTATGTAATTGCAGTCTCTTCTTGTATGAACAGAGATCAACTCCACTTGGAATCTTTTTTAAAGCAAAGAATATTAAATTAGATAGATAGTCTCTGATGGTCCTGTCAACATTAAGACTTTATGATTTAATTTTATCATGAATGTTCATTATTATTTCCAGGGTTTTTAATCCTAGTTTCAAACTTAGTAAATATAGAATGCCTTGACTGCCAAGGTACTGTTCTTTCACATCTCTAGGGATTATTTTATTCAATCCTGCAAGGCAGATAGACAGATAAGAACTCTGAGACTCAAAGAGGTTATGGAACTTGCAATAATTATTGACAGGGTGTCTTACTCTCATCTTGTACTGTTTACTTCGGATCTTTTCTTGCCATCAAAACAGGGATTATTCCTCCAATATAGCACTGGGGGAGGTATAAGTAAGATACAAGGTAATGTTAATCAAAAAGCAGTATCCTAGGAGCCAGGAAAGGGAGAAAAAGTACAAATAGTCTGTGTAACAGTCTATCCTGTGATTCTCTGGGCCTATTTCTACCAGGGTGTTTTTGCCTTAACATCTAAACATGTATAAATTTTTCAACATCACCAATCTCTCTCTCAGAGATTTAGGAGATGTTTAAGAGAAACAAGTACAATAAAATGGGAAATATATTACATATGGTTTGGTGTCTTGCCTCTGCCACTCACTATGTGTAAGATATCAGATCTTCCACATTCTCACCTATAAATCAGGTATAACACGCACTTCCTAGGTTGTTGTGAGGATTAAATGAAGGGCTGTGTGAACATGCTACTTAACTAACTGTATAAAGATATACAAGTCTAAGTGGTTATTATCATTGTGGTTGTTGGATGATAGCAGCAGCCATGTGATTACGTTGTTCTTCCTTCACTGAATGAAGCCACCCAGGGAACTGAAAAGCAAAACTGATAATATTCAGCCTCCAACCCCAGCTCCTTTCTTACATAAGTCCCCCTGGCAGGACATACCATCCCAGTAGCTGGACTCCATCCAGTTGGCGGCATTGAAGAGGGAGGCAGTGCCACCATAGCAGGCATTGGTGGTATCTATGCCCTCAATGTCAGTGTTGCCTGAATCCTGGAAGAGTTCCATGAGCACTGTTTTGACAGCTTTGGACTTGTCAATGATGGTCTCAGTGCCCACTTCCAGCCTTCCCACAGAGTCCCACGGGAGCTTTGTGCGCTCCATCAATCGTTGCACCACCGTCAGGCACAGGGAGTTGATGTCCTCCTGGACTGAGCAGAAACCCATTTCAGTCTGGCCCAAGCCCACTGTATACTTCCCTGCTTCCACATTGTTATACTTCTCCAGGTCAGTTTGGTCCACATATTGGGCTGGGAAGTAGACCTCCAAGGCAAGGATGCCCACGTCCTTTGGCCAAGTATCTGTTTTGGCCAGAGGGACAGCAGAGACTGTAGAAAACCTGTGATGGAGATGACAATCAAAATCCCATTAATGATCTCTAGCTAGTTTTCTCAAAAGACAGTGATGCAGCAATCTTTTAATTCATTTTTAATATATTTTGTTATCATACAACTACAAATTTAGTGTTGTTACATCTTTCTGTTGAATTGACCCTTTTTATTAAATATCTTTTTTCATCTTTGTAAAACTCTTGCCATAAATTCTACATTTTCTGATGTCAATACAGCTGTACTAGCTCTTTGCTTACTGTCTGCATGACATATCTTTTTCTGTCCTTTTTTACTTTCAACCTCTCAGAGTTTTTATATTTAACGTGTGTCACTTGTAATCAGTACATAGTTGAATCTTTTAAAAAATTTTAACAAGTCTTACAATAGTGGTGTTTTGATTGGAGTATTTAGTCCATTTATATTTATTGTAATTCCTGATATAGTTGTAATTAAGCCTACCATCTTTCTGTTTGTTTGTATTTGCCTCATATATTCTTCATTCTTTTATTCCCCCTTCCTGTATTCTTTTTGATTAAGCAAATATTTATTATTCTATTTTATCCCCTCTATTTCTTTAAGTTGTGACCCTATAGATTTTAATATGCATACCTGGCTTATTATACTCTACCTTAAATTAATGCTTCTATTAATTTCTGAATAGTGTAAAAGCCTTTCTTTAGGTTAACTTTATTCATCCTCCCCATGCCTTTGAGCTATTATTGTCACATACTTTACTTCTGCATATGTTATAAGCCCTTATAGAACATAATTTAAAAATTTTTATTTATTTTTAAAGTATATCTCTCATTATCCTCCTTTCTCCTTCTTCTTTCTTTTTTATACACAAGAACATATCCACTGTTTTTCTACTTTTTAAGAAAGTTTTCTGCTTGATTCTATCCTATCTGCTTTTTGTGATTCTGCCTTCCAATATTTATTGAACACAGATAACACAGTGCTGGCCAAGATACACAATAGTGAATAAAACATCCTTTGTGCCCACAAAGAGAACAGGGTCTAATGGAGGAGGAAGACATTGTAACAGCTAAATACATAGTGCAACAAGCAAACCTGCAAGAACAGAGAGCAGAAAGAGCAATTCTAAATAGGGGCATAGAGAAAAGGGGAAAGGGGTCAGTAGAACAGGGAAGAGATAATATATTTCTTTTCTGGATCCATCTACATCTCTTAAACCCTGACTCTTAAACCCCTGGTGAAAATCTGGAGATTCACCTCCTGGCTACAAGCACAGAGCTCACTAGTCCACTTCTCATGTGCTTCCACATGAAAGCACTTGAAATCTGGTCACTTTAGTGACATTCTTCATTTTATAGATGGTGAAATCAAGGCACATACTGGTGAAGTGATGTGCTCAGAATAACTTCATAGTTTTTCACATGTTAGAAATAGTCCCTTCACTGTCTTTGGTGCCAGACTTATAAATTTAGCTCTGTGCTATGGGAGCAATAACTCAGATTAAGTGTATCTACCAATTGTCTTTAGGATTCTGGGCCTCCGGTAGCTCCAATTTTCCCATCAGGAAAGTCATATTTTTAATTTAATTTAATTTAATTTTTTTTTTTTTTTTTTTTTTTTTTTTTTTTTTTTGAGACAGAGTCCCGCTCTGTCGCCCTGGATAGAGTGCAGTGGTGTCATCATAGCTCACAGAAACCTCAAACTCCTGGGCTCGAGTGATCCTCTTGCCTCAGCCTTCCGAGTAGCTGGGACTACAGGTGTAGGCCATGACACCCAGCTAATTCTTCTATTTTTAGTAGAAAAGGGGTCTCACTCTTGCTCAGGCTGGTCTCAAACTCCTGAGCTCAAGCAACCCTCCTGCCTCAGCCTCCCAGAGTGCTAGGATTACAAAGTGTGAGCCACCGCGCCAAGCCAGGAAGATCAATTTGAGGACTGCTGTGAAGCAAAAATGGATTATGTGATCACAAGACAGTGAGAAAAAGCATTAAATGTGCAATAATATCTGACATGAGAGGTTTGGAAATTATTTCTCTGCCTTATTTATTTGGTATCCTCCAAATAATTGGAGTTTGTACTCTCAAATATTTATGGAGGAACTTTCCCAGTACCTAGGAGCTAATGGTTAGCCAGCCCTTGGTCCTGCCAGCTCAGCTGGCTTTTCCCTCAGCCCCAGTCTCTGCCTTCTCTGGGCTGCCTCCTTCCTTCTCCTCTCTGTTAGAAATCAAAGGTTGTAAGGAGAGAGGAGAGGTTCTAAGAACAAGTCAGTGGTAACTTTTGTAACCATCTTGGTAGGGGGCTATTTCTAGAAATAGATTAGAGAGCCTTGAAGAAAGTTAACACATAGAGGCTTCCAGGAGCATCAAACCACTGTAGCTAAGAGTATCTTTCTAATCTTGTGTTTTCTCTAAAGAATGATGTCTTTATTTAATTTAAAAGCAGTTTTTTTTCTGGTGTTGTCTAGTTCAAGAACATGCATCATGCACTCCATCTTGCCTCCTTCCCTTGTGTTTCAAAATTAACTGTGACTACCCAGGCACTGTGCTGGGGAGGGGTCGTGGGGGCGAAGGGGCTGGACAAAGAAGAGAAGAGGACAAGGCTTTTGAGGACTTCCTTGACTGTGTGAGGAATGAGATAAGCACATACACAACCCAACTTAGAGGCAGAAGGTGGTGAAGGCCACAAGAGGTATACGGGCAAAATCCCACAGGAGTTCAGAGGAAGCAGAGAGTCTCTGGGTTGGAGGATCAGGAAAGGCTTCATGGAAGAGGCTGCATTTGAGACCAACCCTGATGGATGAGAGAGCTTCTGCCTGTGAAAAATTGGAGGCGGAGGAAGCAGGAGTGGCCACAGTGGGGAGTGATTGAACGGACAAGGGGCCCTGCAGAGGAGGGTGTGGGGGGTGTAAGGAGACAATATATGAGAAATTTAGGAAGTGGAGGACCAATTCTTACTTAATTTTAGAGGCAGAAAAACAGATGCTGAAATGGGAGTTGTTCTTAGGTTGGACTTGGGGTGGATGCAGGTTGGATTAAAGAGGATAGACCTGTAGAGAAAAGGTGCCCCACAAAAAGCAACGTTAGCCTAGGCCAAGGATGATGGGATGAGCTGTGAGCACACCCAGAGGGAAATGTGAATGATGATTCCAGAGTTTGAACCAAAGAAGTCAGAATGTTGGTGAGGACTGGATGTTTGTCTCTTGGCTGATGCCAACTGTTGCTTGAACTGAGAGGTACCACACCAATCTCTTCTTCGCAAATAACACAGAAACAGGTTAAATTCTGAGCTGGGACATTTGACCTGTATGCAGTGGTTTGGCGGGGATGCAGGGAGTATAAAAGATGGTAGTGTCATGAAGAAAATAAGACGCTAATAAGCTTCGCACATCTCTGCACCCAGCTTCCCTGGGTACCAAGCAAGGGAAAACACTAGGTCAAAATCATTTTTCTAAGTATTCAGTATTCACGGAATGCAAAGGAAAAAATGGAAGGAAAGAAAGGACTAGTCCTAAGGTGTCTGGGATGATTTAGGGGTTAGATAATAACACGGAGGTGGCCGGAAGCCCAAGGCACCAAATATAGCTGTGTTACCATCCTCACTGGAAAACACAAGCACTCGGGCCACATTGAGGAGGTGTTTACAAAGAAAAGGAGTGTGTGTGTGCTTTGCACATGCACAAACACACACATAAACACACACATACGTTCTTATCTTTACGTTTTACTTTCCCCTTTCAAAAAGCTGGAGCTCAGGACAAACACAGCTTCTTACCCCCAGTCCATTTTAGATTTTACAGCAGTGACTTAAAGCACTGCTTCTGTTAACAGTGCAGCTGGCACAGAATCCTGAGGGTCTTGGCAGAGTCAAGGTGTCAAGGTAGGAACGGCGGTGGAGCGGGGAGAGCTGTGGGCCCTGGTACTGATATTTCTACTGCTTTGTGCAGCTGGCAGAGTAAAAGATGCTGTTGTTCACAAACACAGCATGTGTCAGAGGTTCGGGATCCTCTAATTCTATGGCTGAAAGGAACTATATCTGTTTAGAGACAAGGTAACTGAGACCCTGAGAAGTTAAGTTGCTTGTCTATGGCTGTGCACAAGCCTTGACAACTTTCGACCAGGATTCTAAGTTTTTTCCAATGGCAGGACTTCTGACTGTCTTTTACTGGCTCCAAGATGCTTCTCAAAGACGGACCTGTACAGACCCTTGGAACAACTGGACTCACCTTTGGTGGGCGGCTGGGAGCAGCCGAGCAGGTGTGAGGGAAGCCTCCTGCGTCATTCTTTGCAACCGCAGGACCCGCTTCACCGGAGTCAACAGGCGCTGCATTTCCTTCAGGAGGAGCGAGCAGAGGGCAGCAGCTCACAGCCCTTGCAGAGACTCCCAGCAGAGCCTGGAGCCCAGAGCCGGGCTGGGCTTTATAGAGCCCTGAGACTCCTGCCTCTGGAAGCCCCGCCCCTGCCTACCCAGGCTCCGTCTCCTTCTAAAATGGGGCCAAAGGGCTCACACAGAACACGGGCAAGTCACAGACACACATCATCTCTGCAACGTGTACATAACAGCCCCGCTCCTGGCGTGTATGGGAATGGCCAGCCTGACTCCTCCTCTCTCAGGCTCTTGCAGCAGCTTTATTTCTGCCCAGCCACCGAAAGAGGGAACTCACATTGTTCCTGTTGTAACACATCCCAGGGTGACCCCATCTGGCCTATCTTGGACCCCGGCTCCTCACTGGAGTTACTGTCACTGGGTGGTTCATAATCTGCCCCATGGTGTTAGCTGTTATTATTTTAATGTGATGCATTACAAGGAAACTCTTTTGAAACCAAAAAGAATGGATCTTTGAATAGCAGCTCTCCATGTAGCTGGGAGAGAGTGTTGGCACAGAGGCTGTGCTGTAGACTCTAGGGACCCTGCTATATTTCGCCTGTCTTTATTGCCACCCTTAAATTCGCACAACTCTACACAATTTCCAGGTGGGCAACTAGTGTTACAACAGAGTTACAGGAGCCTGAAAGGAGCGACTGTCATTTGAAGCTCTGTCTCCTAGGGAGGAAAGGTTTGCTTTGCAGACGAGGTCAGAGATACGTAGAAAGGTATGATTTTCCCAAAGACCTGGAGCTAGTAAGTTGCAGATTAGGGACTCGATCACGGCTTTTGCCTCTGGATTCTAGTGTTACCGCTTTGTTCTTCTGCTTATTAATAAAGAGCTTCCTGCCATCTGATCTTCCAGATGAATGTTTCCCTCCACCCCTCTCATGGCCCCAATCTTCCTCTACCTTTTATGAGGATCACACTCACTAGTTCATCATTCAGTTTTGTGAACCCTCCCACCTCCTGCCGTCCCCCGTCTAATATACGAGTCTGTGGTAGAGGACCCAGAGAGAGGCCAGAGTGGTTCCTACTTTAGGGGGTGTATAACTGAGTTCATTTTCCTAAAGATAGAGAATTTCTAGGTGTCCCCAGAGGTCCAGGATGCCTAGGTCTTTATCGTTAGATTCTTATCTCCATACATCTTGGTGCAATATTGTTCTACCTCAATTACCCACCTTGCCCTGTCACATCGTCCCCTTACACTGAGCTTTTTGCAAAGTTCTGTCATCAGTAAAATCCTTCACTTCCAATTTCTTCTCTGAAATGCTCCGAAATGCCTGTGGCTTCTTGTCTCTGTTAACCTGTCTCTCTTTCAAATGGTGGCTACACTCTTTGCCTCCCCGACAGTCCCACCATCTGGCCAGCGATATCCGATGCACCTCAGGGCTTAGAACAAAGCACGTGTCCCCTTTGCTCTTCGCTGGTACCTTCAGAGTACTTTTCTCTCCCTCCTTTCAAATACCCCTGCTGCCTTAAAGCACATGGCGTCAGTCTGTGCCACCAGTGCCCTTCATTCTTGCAGCCAACCAACAACCGTGTTCCACTTCCCCTCCTTCACGAAATTTAAGTGCAGGGATCACTGCCTTCCTCCCCACCACCAAGCCTCTCAACATCCTTGGAGACGCCAGTCTCCACATAACATTATTCATCCTCCCCGGCCTCTCTCTGAGTTGCCATTTCCATGATTTGTTTTCCACATGACTTCAGCCTCCCTCCCACAGTCATAACCTTGACCTTGTTATCACAGTGTCATTACCACCTCCACAATTTAATTTTCATGCATCCCAATTTCCAACGACCTCTATCTTCCCAGCTCGCTTTGAAAGTACCCCTACCTTTGTCTTCCTTTGGGGCCACCATTGAGTCCTCCACAGTTTTGGCATCACCCTCATGACCTCTTTTCTCTCCTTGCCCAGCTCAGATTACTCACAGAGCCTCACCGTGAACAGTCCCTTGTATCACTTTGCCATTTATGCTTTCTGTCCGACGGGCCTAGCGAACTTTCAGCTTTGGCTAAATTCAACTCTCGATCTACTCTGTGTCTGCATATGAGCAGCTAAACATGGCTGAAGAGAAACACAGCGTCGTGCTGACCGGTTGGCTTTAAATTTACAAACATGCATCTCGAGGGGACCTGCAGCACGGCCTGGTGATCTACTGCATCTTCCCAGTCCATTTGCTCTCCCAGTCCCAATATAGCTAATCCCGACTTCTGTTCTGTCTTCAGTCCCTCTCTGCTCATTCTCAGCCGATCACTTTGACTCTTATTTCACTGAGGAAATAGGAACAATCAGAATAGAATGACTGCATATTCCATTAGTAACTTCAGAAAAGTGAATTTGTCTTTATACCCCCTGCTCTGCCTTCTTACTGTTACTATGTAGAGGAACAGTCCGTGCTCTGGCTCAAGGCCAGAGTCACCACTTGAGCACTGATTACATTGCCCGTTTTCTACATGAAGAATGCACTCTTGAGTTATCCCCTCTCTTTCGCATGATCAATTTTCCCTTTCTATTAGATTGTTCTTATCGTATTGTTCTTGTACAATCCTATTTTTAAATACCTCCTCTTGACCCTATGCGTCTTATGGAGTGTGCCACCAAATCTGTGCTCCCCTCTATAGCAAAATTTATTAAAAATGTTTGTTCTCTGTGTTTTTCTTTCTTTCCATTCTGTTTTTAATCGATCATTTAGGCTTTCGTTCCCAGCACTCCATTGAAATCCTACTCATCAAAGTCACCAGTGACTTCCTTGCTGCCAAACCCAATGGTTGGTCCTAAACTTTCAGCTTATTAGACCTCAGACCTTATTAGGAGCAAATGGCAAGGCTGCTTTCCCTCTTTCTCAAAGTTCACTTAGCCTAGGACCTGACAATCTCATGGTTTTCTCCCAAATCACTGGCCACTCCTCACAGATGCTGCTCACTCCAGGTAATCCCCAAATATTCTTATTTCACTGAGAAAGTGGATGAAACTGAATAGTGCTAAAGTAGATTAAATGTGGCCTAAACCTGCCTCCACAAATAGCACACTATAACCTAACTTAATATGTAAATAAACTGCAACCTAACTTGAGAGTACATTCTTGTGACAAGTAGCTGAGTCTTGGCCAATTGCAGGCTACAGACTGTCCAAACATGCTCATATGGGCAACTACAGAACTGTAACCAATCAAGCAGTTTCTGTATGCTACTTGCTTCTTCTGTCTATAAATACTGCCTACCCATGTTGCTGGGTGGAGCTCTCTGAACCTGCACTGATTCAGGGTGCTGCCTGATTCACGAATCATTTCTTTGCTTAAATAAACTCTGTTCAATTTAATTTGTCTAAACTTTTTCTTTTAACATTAAGAACACTAAGCTCTTACACAAACATTCACACAGGATTATGGACACATAATGGAGCAGTTTGATAAAATTGAAGACCAAAACCATCCAATCTAACGCAAACTTTACTTAGAATATATAACAGATTAGGCACTGGGTAGATAGATGGATAAACTTCATTCCCTTCTTTCTTTTAAGCTGGCATGTACTAAGCAATTACTGTATGCCAGGCATTATACTAAGCACTTTGTATGCATTCTTTAGTTTCATTTTTACAACTATCTGAAGTTGGTACTATTGTTACGCTCATTTTACAGATGAGAAAACTGAAGGTTGGAAAAATTATATAACCATTTGTTGTGTTAGACATAGTAAATGGCTGAAATGAGCTTTGAATCCAGGTATCTGGCTCTACACATAACCTGAGTCAATCATGAGCCATTTTGACTTGAGAAAGTGGCAATTTCATGTGGTTCTACTTAATATTAAGTTGTTTCTTTGGAATAAGGAAAACTCATAGATTAAGGAAGTACCAGGAATGCATTATATAAAGTATAAATTGGGGGGAAGTAATAGTAAAAAACCATCAGGCTATAGTTTTTCACAAAACTAGTTGTGAATTTTGTTTACTTAGTCAAGTAACTGTACTCAAGCATAATCAAGTAATTGGTTTGTCTATTAATTAATGTGTTGAAGGAAATGGATCACAACATTTGTGTCTAAAGAAGATACCCCCTCCCAAACACATAAATGAACCCACATTTTGATTCTTCTTAAGTGAAAACAGATATTTTTATTTTTACTTTGAGATTTTGGAGTCTTTCAATTACTAGACTGCAGCTTTTCAGTGTTGATAAAAGGTAGGATTCATTGAAAATACATGTTAGGTGCCAGAAAAATATTAGGAGTAAGAAAATTTGATTATTAGGGATTTTAAAAGTTTAAACACCTAGTGTGAGGTCTACAAAAACAATGTTTATTTTTTAAGAGAGCTGGTTTAGGAGAGCAAGATGATAAACAAGATTCCCAGGCATCTAGATTTACCCCTTTTGGCTCACCTAAAGTCTGCATGTTTTCTACCTCAGAAACCCATAGTCCTCCTTTTAACAAAAACTCTGAAGACGCATTTGCCCAAGGGTTCCATGACTGATGAATTGAAGAAACCCCCTCCCACGCAGATTTGCATTTTACACCTCAACCCCAAGGAAACCATCTTTCCGAAAGTGGGTTGGAAAGCCATTTCTGCGGAAAGTCTAGACCTAGAGAGAAGTCTTTATACTTTTGGAAATAAACTCTGTTTATTTCACAATGACACTAATAAAGTACAAGCCTACCTGCTGCTCTTTCTGTTTTCAGGTGCTCTCACATACAGTCTGTTCTCAAAATAGTTCTAGGGGGTTGATCTGAATTATTCATTAGCACCATTTGGAAGATATGGACATTGATGCTTTGAGAAATTACACTTCCTGGCTTGTGGGTATGTCATTAGTAAGTGACAATGGCTCAGAGTGGCTATTACTGCCGTGGCTCCAAATCTGGGGCTTTTTCATTGCACCTACATGTGTATTCTTCCATGGAAGGGGAAGAGCCAATGCTGTTTATGACTTTATTGCTGGTTAGCCCAATCTCTTATTTGCTGGGTCTCGCCTTTCATGATTACCTGGAGTGACATTCAGACCTTCGATTCTAAAGCCTTAG